TATTTATTCCCATTTCAAAGAAATTATGGTACATTTGGTGCAGAAATCATCAAACAATATCATTAATATCACATGCAAGCAAGATTCTGCTGAAAATTATCCAAAGAGAACTGTCAGATGTGCAGTCTGGACTCAGTAGAGGTCATGGTACTAGGGATATTATAGCTAATGATAGAAGGATCTTGGCTGAAAGCAGGGTGTATCAGAGGAATGTCTTTTTGTGTTTCATTGACTATGCAAAGGCATTTGACTGTGTAGATCACAACCAACTATGGATGACTCTGAGAAAAATGAGAGTGCCAGAACATTCAATTGTGCTTAATTGAAAACCGTATTTGGACCAGGAGGCAGTCATCAGAACAGAGCAAGGAGATACTGCGTGGTTCAAAATCAGGAAAGGTGTATGACATGGATGTGTACTGACGTCTTCATACCTTTTCAATCTATATGCAGAAAAAATCATCCAGGATGCTTGACTGTATGAGGAGGAATGTGGCATCAGAATTGAAGGAAGACTCATCAACAATCTGCTGCGTTATACAGATGACACAACCCTGCTTGCTGGAACTGTGGAGGACCTGAAGCGCTTGCTGCAGAAGACCAAGGACTGTAGCCTTCAATATGGATTGAAACTTAACATCAAGTAAACAAAGATTCTCACTACTGGGCCAATTGGCAGCAATATGATAGATGGTGAAGAGATTGAGATTATTAGCAGCTTTAGTTTGCTTGGCTCCACAGTTAGCATTCTTGATACCAGCAGTGAGAAAATAAAAAGAAAAATTGCATTGGGAAAATTGCTGTCAGGGACCTCTCCAGAGTACTGATGAGCAATGATGTCAGTCTAGAAACTAATGTGTGCTTTATCCAGACCATAGTCTTCGCAATTACTTGCTATGTGTCAGAAAGCTGGACAGTGATTAGGGATGATAAAAAGAGAATTGATGCCTTTGAGCTGTCCTGTTGGAGATGAGTATTGAATATACCATGGACTGCCAGGAAAACAAACAGATTCATCAAGGAGAGGGTGAAAGCAGATTGCTCCTTGGAGGAAAGGATTCTGAAACTTTACATGACATATTTTGAGCATGTTGCAAGGAGGAACAAGTCCTTGGGGAGGATCATTATGCTTGGAAGAATGGAGGAACAATGCAAGAGAGAAAGACTCTTGATGAAATGGATTGATTCAGTGACTAGGGTAATTGGTTAGATGTGTGAGAGACAATAAGGTTGGCACAGGATAGAGCAGGGTTTAGGGCTGTTGTACATGGGGCTGTTGTACATTAGGGTAGGGTCACTGTGTCACAAATGACTCTATGGCACATAACAACAACAAAACAGCATTACATTAAAAAGAGAACTACATGAGCAAATCAAGACACATTTCTTTTTTAAAAACTATTTTATTTTTTTAATGATCTCTATTTCCTTTGATAAATCACTTTTTCTTTTTTCCTGTTTTTATTTTTTTATTAATTATAATGAAAGTTTACAGAGACTTTGGATTTCCATTCATTCATTGTTGCTATTTTCTCCCTGCCCACCCCTCCCCCCAAATTCACTCTTCTCTTTGAAAAGTAAAATTCTTTCATTGATATATAATCCCTCCCCTCAAGTACACTCCACCACGTAGCCTTCACCTTGGACTTCTGTAATGACAGTAATACCTAACCATATATCTCTTTTAAGTAGTTCTTTCCCTCATCTGTTTCAATGCAGTATACAATATTTTTCCCCGCTTACTCAGTCTCCTCTTAACCCTGATGTCAGTGGCACTATGCAATATTTGTCCTTTTGTGACTAAGATATTTCACTCAGCATAATATCCTCCAGGGTCACCCATTTTCTGTAATATTTCATGAGTTCATTGTTTTTCAGTGCAGCATAGCATTCCATTGTGTTAATATACCAGAGCTTCTCTATCCATTTGTTTGTTGATGGGCACTTGGATTGTTTCCAACTCTTTACTATTGTGAACAAAGCCACAATACACATTTCTTAAACTCCGAAATGAATTTAATATTTCTTGTTTTTAACTTTACTGGTAGTTTAAATGTTATCTGTTTTGTAAATTGTTACTCTGGAATAACAAACAGCATTATTTGAATTGACAGAGTAATTTATAGACTTCTTACTTATGAAGTCTTATGTGGACAATATAAAAAATGATTCAAACAAACAACAACGAACCCTCAAGCTCTAGAAAGTCATCAAACCATGAAAATCTTTAATATAGACATTGTGTTTTCTATAAATAATTTAACCAAATCAGCTTTAAAACATGTTTGACAAAGTTGATGAAAGTTATATTGAACATAAAAAGGATTAAAAATTAAAATATTAATTACTTTTTCTTATTTTACTCACTTGAGCATTTTTAAACAAATATTTTTCTTCTTGTAGATGGCAGATAATTGCCAACCAAAAGAGATACAACTCTGATAATTATCCTTGCAGAGATCATGTTCTAATGGTAAAGACAATACTAGCAGTCCTGACTTCTTTCAAGCTGTAGCTTTAATACTAAGGAGAAATCTTACAGGGATTCTTTAATCCATTCTATGTCTTCAAAGACACTATCATTGGGTTCATTATTGCATTCATCACTGTGTCCTTGTCTGCAATTCGGCACTAACCTGACACCTTTTTTAAGGCTTCCAAATATCCATTCAATGATCTATCTATTATTTAGTGGTTTTATACAAACACACACTTAAATCTAATACCTTTCTGATTTATTCTTCCTCTCCCTTATTTTTTATTAAATTAAATCTAGTATTTACTTGAGTATACAAAATCTTTACATGATCTATGCTTCCAGGTAACTCTCTGGCCTTCTCTTACTTAGCACATGAGTCCCTTGGCTACTCGAGAGTGCTGTTTAGGTCCAGATTTTTTCACTTATCATCTTCAGCTTGTAGCAGGATTCTTTCAGACATAAGCATGATGTATTTCTTCACTTCATTCCATTTTCTGCTCCAATATTTCATTGACGGATGCTTTAACTAACCACCTTTCTCATTCTCCGTAGGTTACTTCATTTTTCTTTCTAGCACTTATCTTTATATACCTGGCATTATAGTGCATAATTGTTATTTTGTTTGTTTGTTTTTAATGGACCTATTTTGTGTCCCTGCTCCAAATCAGTGGAGTGGACTACAGCTCATACAGACTCTATGAACAATGGATCTGAACCTTGCTTTATTTTTGGCCATCTTCATAATCTCTGATGCACATCATTTTGGTGTTGTAGTCACTGTGTCAATGTGTCTTATTGAGGATGTTATTCTCTTTCACTGATCCATCTTTCCAAACATAATGGGGTTAGCCCCTCAAGGACTGACCCCTCTTAACAACATTCTCAAAATATGTGAGGCAGAGTTTCCCCTCTTTGCTTCTAAGGAACACCGTAGTTTTGTTGTTGTTGTTGTGTTATGTCAATTCAGAACTAAACTTTAGTAGATCCTCTAGTGGGTTTTTAAGTGGCAGTCAATTTCATGTATGGAGATTGTCCAGCCTTCTCTCATGGAGCAACTGGAGGATATAAACCACTTGCCTTTGCAGTTTCTTACCACTAGGCAACCAGAGAGCCTCTTAAATAGAGTTCTTAATGTTTGCTCCACTTGTGTATTAATATGGCTTAAAACTTTTGTTGGTCCAGTGATTATTAAAGAATATTTTTGTTTAGAACTTAGAAATTGTGGCATGAGAAGAAAACTCAAGATAGACTGGGATGTCCATCCCATTTAAAGAACAATAAATGAGAAATAGAGTAGGCTAAAAAGGTGATGGAAAACCAAGAGTTACTTTGTAAGTTAAAAAAAGGAAGAGAAAAAAAATGGTCAGTGTTGTTAAAAACAGCTTGGTGGTCAAGAATAACGACTGAGAATTTCTCACTGGCCTTAGAAGCATAAATGCCACTGGACTCCTAGATAAGTCTAATTCTGAATTTTTATTAGAAACAGAAGCCCACTGAGAGTGAGTTCAAACAAGATGTACATGGAATTTAAAAAAATATGATATTTTAATTTGCCATATTTCCCCATGTTTTAGAAATGATATTTTATGATGAATTGCCTTCATGAGTTAAAGAGAAAAATAATTTCCAATTTACTAGGGGAAATTATAGTTATCGGTTTCCTTTCTTCTGTCTGGTCCTGCCTAGACAAATTTACAAGATTTCAGTAGGGCTATGATTAGAAGATTTGAGTAGCTCTGGTAGTCCAGTGGTAAGGAACTGTACTACCAACATGAAAGAACACAATTCAAGTCTGTCAGGTATTCTGTGGGAGAAACATGGGCAATCTCCTCCCATGAAGTTTACAGCCTCTGAAAACCCACTGGAGAGTGAGCTAGGAGTTGGCTATACCTTGTTGCCACTTAACAAACACTATGACTATTTAAGAGACTTTAGTCAGTTGACTTCCTTCATATATCTTTTTCCATTGAATTTGTCTATTTATAAAGCTGTGCAAATAGTCGGTAAGAAGTAATTTCTGAAAATATCTTATCACTGTGAGAAGATTGTTAAATAGCATATAAAAAACAAAACCTCAGTAATGGGCTTCCATTGGTTTTGTTGTTGTATAGTGTCAAGTTAGAACTTGACATAGTTGACTTTTCAGCAAGTTTTCAAAGGCAAGAAATTGCAAAGGAGATTTCCCATTTTTCTCTCATGGTGCATCTGAGTGTTTCAAACCTTTAGGTGGAATCTTTTGGGTTGAATACCTTTGGGTTGGCAATGAAATCCCTTACCACTAAGTGACCAATGTTCTGTTAATTTTTGGAGGATATAAAACATATCCGAGAAAGATTGTTCATCTTTCTCTGGCAAAACCACTGGTGGATTTGAACTACTAGAGACATGTAGCCTTTGTTTTAATAATGAAATTCATTCTGGACTATGGAACCACAGGTATGTGTAATATTTGCCATAAGTATAAATATGCGTGAAGTAATTTTACTTACTCAGGATGTTAACGGAAACAATACTCTTACAGATTCTTGAACAATGTTGGCTTCTTTTTTCCACTAATAATGATGTTGACCTGGATGGTGTCTGTGGCCAGTATGGTTCGAAAGCTGGTTTATGAGCGAGAGCTACAGATTGAAGAGGTAAATGGCCGTAAGCATTGCCTTAAAAGTGAGAAAGAAATTTTACGAAATTTTTGGTTGTATGTAAGTAGCCTCAGAAAGTATACACTTTTGTTTGTTGTTGTAAGTTTATTATGCAACTTTTTATAGGTATACAACCTACTAAAAGCAATTACAATTGCATTAATATTGTTGTTGGGTGTTGAGTATAACTCATAGTGACACTATGAACAACAAATCTGAAGCATGTCTTAGCCTCCAAGGAGCACTCTGGCTTGACTTTATCTAGGACATATCTGGGTTTTTTTAACCTGTGTAAATGGAGACATAAGCAATGCCATTATCTCATTACTATAAGCCCAAACACAGTATTCCACATGTAATAATAGCTTTCCCCCTTCCTACTGCCACTCAACTCGTTGCCATTAAGTCAAATCATAAGTTTCCAAGGCTGTAAATCTCAACAGGAGGAAATTGATCATCTTTCTTCCATGGCTATTGTTCATGATATTCACTACAAAAACAAAAAAAGTCTATTTTTACAAAAGTCAGTCATACAATATTTGTCCTTTGGTGATTTGTCTTATTTTGTTTTTGCTGTTATGTGTGATTGAGTTGACTATGACTTATAGCAAACTTATGCATAATAGTTGTGATTCCTTCCCTATCCTGAGCCAGTCTCTTTTGACACATGTTCCCCCAGTTACTGTGTCAATTCATCTCATATGGGATCTTCTTCTCCTGCATTGACCCTCCACCCTTCCAAACATGATATTCTTTTAATGAATATAATGTATCCAAATTCCACCCATAGAGTAGCATGTATTAAGGCTTCATTTCTCCTACTGACTGAGATTTATTCCTTTATATGTATGTGCTATAGTTTATCCAATTCCTTGTTGATGACTAATTAGATTGTTTTTACCTTTCAGCTATTATAAATAGTGCTACAACAAACATTGATGTGCAAGTATGGTTTTCCGAGTCAACACAGTGTGAGAGTGAAAATTATGATTTATCTTTTCATGGGTAGATATTCTCTTTCTAGTGAACTGTGCTGACTCTTGATTTCCCTTCTTCTGGCAGTACTTGAGGATGATGGGCGTGCATCCAACAACCCACTTTATGGCGTGGTTCCTAGAGAACATCATCATGTTGACCCTGAGCAGTGCTGTCCTGGCAATTATTCTGAAAACAAGTGGAATCTTCATGCACAGCAATGCTCTCATTATTTTTCTCTTTCTCCTGGATTTTGCTGTGTCAGTCATTATGTTGAGCTACTTCCTGAGTGCATTTTTCAACCAAGCAAACACAGCTGCCCTTTGTACTAGCCTGATGTACATGATTAGCTTTCTACCCTACATTGTATTGCTGGTCCTTAACAAGCAACTAAGTTTTGCTATTCAGACATTTCTGGTAAGTAAATTGTTGTCTGTTTGTTTTCCAAGAGGCAAAATGGCAAAGCTTCCATCCACCCAACAATATAAAACCTGAATAACTCAAGTTTTCTGTTGTTCCTACTCAGATCTGCATAGGCTTCCTGACATCTACTCTTCTCTATTCTCTCCACTGTTGCAAATCTTGTAGTTATAGTTCATTAAAATTGCAGTGATTTTTAAGGAGATTAGCCCATTAAGAATCATGACTGTGGCTGTCGACTCTGGGAAATCAATAGCCTCTTATATGAAGCATATGACTCTTGTTCTCTTCATTTCACTCATGGAAAGAAAGATATTTTCAAGCTCTTTTACAAGTTAAAAATAAACATTAATACTGAAATATCATTAATTTCTTCTGGCCTAGTGAGCTGCCAACCAAAAGGTGGTGTTGTAGTTGTTAGGTGCTATAGAGCTGAGTACGATTTGTAATGATCGTATGAAGAACAGATCTAAGTCTTATCCTATTCTATGTAATTCTCATCATCTCTGACACACTTGAGCCGATTGCTACAGTCACTGTCTCAATCTATCTGGTTGACATATTACCCATCATTAACCCCCCCATCTTTTCAGATACCCACTAGATTTTCCCCATTTCCTTTACTCCCTAACTCCATTAATGAAATTGTGCAACCCCATGATTTCTCCCTTGCCCATCCTCACCCCTCTGCTTCCACTCCTTCCTTCCTTGGACCCCCATACACATTTTACTAGTTATCCTATTTTTTATAATAATGGTCTTAAGCCGTATTTGTCCTTGTGAAACTTAGTATAATGCTCTCCAGTCTCTCCCAAGTTACGTAGTAATTTTGGAAATAGTTGCTCCTGAGTATTGTGCGTGAATCTACTACTATTTCTTAATCTATTTGATCGTGGTTGGACATTTAGGTTGTTTTCATGTTCATGTAATTTTAAATAATGGTGCTATGAACACTGGTGTACGAATCTCCGTTTGTGCCTCAGTTCTAATTTCCTTGTGGTATATCAGTAGCAGTGAGTCATATGTAATATCCATATTCAACTTTTTTGAGGAAATGTCAAACTACTTTCCAGTATAACAGTGTATGAGAATTCCTAAATCTTTGCATTCTCTCACATTCATTGCTAGCTGCCCTGCTTTGACACTGCTTCTGGGGTGAGATGGTATCTCATTGTGGTTTTTATTGTGATCTCTCTTATTGCCAGTGATTTTAAGCATATCTTTATGTATCTGTTGATCATCCAAATACCTTCTTCTGTGAAAAGTCTAGGTCTTTTGTCCACTTTAAGTGGTCTGATAGAACTCCTGTCCTAACTATCAACACCTGCATTTGCTCAAGGTTTCACTTCTCCAGCAAGTCAGGCTAATTTGTTAAATCTTATCAGTTGTAATTTGAGACCAGAGATATTATCAAAGAATTTGAGGAAGTATCAGCGAGACTCAGTGTCAAAGGGCTGTTAGGAATATGCATGTAACAGCCTTGACAAATTATTTAATCTAGTGCAGTGCTCATAATAATCCTGGGATTTCCAGGATAACCCTTCTATATATTTAGGATCTTAGAATAAATTACTTCTGTGAAGATGAAATTATTTTTGTCCAATATCAGTAAACTATTCTTCCCTCTCCCCAACCTTTGCTTTCTACAAGTATATGTATATGTGTATATATGCTTGTAGGGAGCCTTGATGCTGTAGAGAGTTGTGGTATTAACCTAAAGGCTGTACCTCTATGAAGGTTCAAATTACAATCAGCTCCATGGGAGAAAGATGGGCAATCCTCTTCTGTGCAATTTATGTCTTCACAAAAACCATCTGGAGGGTTAGCTATGAGTTGATTACAACTCAGTGGCAATGAGAGTAAGAACACTAGATGTGTGTGTGTGTGTAGTAGGCGTGATAAAGAATTGGTTATGTTTAATAACATTTTGTCCATTGATATTTTTCACCTTATAAAATGAACAAATGTCACACTTTTAGTATTCAATCACCAATAGTATTGTACTTGTGTTAATTAGATATTTTCATAACAATTTAAAAAAAAAGAAAAAGAATTAACTCATGTTCTTACAATAATGTAAAAAAGGGATCATTGACATTTCTAACCTAAATTCCAATTGTTGTTATAATTATACTCTAGCTCTTACATGTAAGTGCTCTTTGTACTCAAAGTTTTATTTATTATTTTATGTATTAAAATGCTTTCTAGAAGATAAAAGAACCCTAATAAACTATAGTACATTATATATTTAAATGTAAGATAATTTTCAATAGGGTGGGGTGGTTGTTTTGTGTTTTGTTTTTGTTCTGTTTTTTTTTCTGATATTAGACTCTCCATTAAAATGTTTTCCTTCAATAAACTTTATAGTGTAGAATAGTGTGTGTTTCTCATCAGCTTGATCAGTGTTCAGTATCCTCTAGGGCATTCATTTAATAACAAAAAAACCTAGTAAATTACTTGGTTCCATTTTCTGCTGTTTTGTGTTTCACTTTTCTGTATACAGTGTTTTGGATTTATGATACTTTAAGCACTCCAGTAAAGAGAAAGAATTTCTTTTTTAACATTATGTATGAGCTTGTCATCATGCTTTGCATAATGGACTGGCTTTCTGTAGAAATTTTCAAGGTCAGGTATTTCAATCACAGCCTGAAGCAGGGGGTTGGCATTATTATAACTGACACTGTCGCTAGACTCTGTATTTGAATTTAGGATTGTAGATTTTCTGTGGTCCCAACCCAACACTAATGTGCTGTTTTTCTCTTTACTACATCATCAATTACCGGGCAGTGTTTCCTATCAACAACTGCTTTTGGACAAGGAGTCTTTTTCATTACATACCTAGAAGGACAGGAAGCAGGTAAGAGAATGGATTCTTTTAAAAGTGTCTTTCAGTAATATAGATTTTACTTGAGGCTAGTTATCCTGGTACAAGTAGAAATTTTTTATGGCAATTTGGGAACATTTTAATGGAAGTTCTATTATTTGGGTTAGCTGATGTAAACACTTTTACATCATCTAGTTTTACCAGTTTTATGAATAAACAAGAATAATTATGACATCTCAGGACCTTAAAAACTACCCAAGTCAATGATTACTAGCATGAAAAGGGAGGGAGAGGAAAGTGAAACAGTGTAAACAGGTAAGTTTGATAAAGGGAAAGGCCATATCCAATAAGGAGTTGATCTGACTTTGTAATCAATCAATCAATCAATCAATCAATTAATTAATTAATTATATTAATGCTCTAGAAGGGAGCTCTGGTGGCCAAAGGGCAAGAAACTGTGCTACAATCCCAAAGACATGTGGTTCAAGGCCACCAGCTGCTTCACAGGAGAAGGATGGGCAATCTCCTCCTGTGAAATTAACTGCTCTGAAAACGAGCTGGTGGGTCACCTATGGGTCAGTTCCAACCCAACGGTAACAAAAACAACAACAAAAATTATTAAACATATGTATGAATGGTAGAATGAAAAACTGATATAGTTTATGAATTTAAACTAAAACAGCAAGAGACAAAGTTAATTCCCTCTCCATAAAATCCTCCAACTCTCCAGATCAACTACCAGGCTGATGCCTGGTCTTCCTGTAACATCTTTTATTTTTTTTTCTTTAAGTTCTAGAATGTTCTTCTCATTATATTTTTTTTTCCAGTTTTTATTTTGCTTATTTTTTCAAATTATAATATATATATTTAAGTATGTTCTTTAACATTTATTGTTTTGTAAGCACTCATTCATACATATGTTTCATGCATGTACATTGTGTTTCATACAATTATTCATTATACAATGAATTATCATTCATCTATGTGTACTATCACACCATATTTTCAGGTCCCCATTGAATCTTTCTTATTCTTTTACACTGCGTTCTACCCACTAACTTAGGCTATGCTAGTGATTTCTCCTCTTTCTCTTTTTCTGTTACCTCCTTCATTCTCCCCCTTCTCTTTGAACATTTTTATACACATCTTTGTCGTGATCATTGTATTTTCACAATAATGTTCTTATGAAGTATTTGTCCTTATAAGACACAGTTATTTCACCCATCATAGTACTCTTCTAGACTTGTATAGTATTTTACAAAATCATCGTTCCTTAGTGTAGTATAGTGTTCTATTATGTGAAGTTACCACAACATTTATTTGTTGATGGGCATTTGGACTTAAAAAAAATTTTCTGGCCATTGTGACTATTGCTATAAATAGGTGTACTTATTCCTACGTATGTCTCAGTTCTGATTGCCTTGAGGTATGTTCCTACCAGTGGGATAGCTGGGTCATGGGGAATTTCTACATTCAGCCTTTTAAGAAAATAACAAACTCCCTTCCGCAGTGGTAATGTCATTTTACAATCCCATCAGCAGTGCATGAGAGTTCCAGTTGCTCTACATGCTCTCCAACATTTGTTGCTTGCTATCCACAAAAACTTTGCTGTTGATACTGGGGTGAAATAATATATTTTGCATCTGTGATTGCCAGTGATTTTGATCATTTCTTAAGGTATCTGTTAGGCATCCAAATATCTTTATTTGTGGAGTGTCCCATTTTGTGATTGGGTTAACATTATTTTTTGTTGTGGAGATCCTGTAGTATTCTGTAAACTTTTGTTACAGGATTATTGTCTGAAATATCATGCCCAAATATTTTCCCCAATCTGTGGCTTTTCTTTTCAACCTATTGGAAAAGAGTTTGCTGTATATAGTACTTAATTTTTATTTGTCTCAGTTGTCAATTTCATCCTCTCTTCCTTCTGAATTGATTTTACTATATTTTCAAGCCTATTTGTGTCATAGATTAAGGCTTGTAAAATTGATCCAATTTTGTCTCTTATTATCCACCTGGTTTTGGGTTTTAATTCTAGGTCTCTGATCCACTTTGATTTAATTTTTATTATGATGTAAGATGTGGATCCTGTTTCAGTTTTCTGCAGGTAGACCAGGTAGACATTCAATTTGGACTACACATTTGTTGAAGAATTACGAATTTTCCTTTTGATTGGTTTTGTTTCCTTGCGAAATATCAATTGATCATAGCTAGATGGGCTGATTTCTGGATTTTCAATTGTTTTCCATTGGTCTAGATGTCTGTCATTGTACCACTTCTTGTTGTTGTTGTTGTTGTTGTTGTTGTTGTTGTTGTTACGTGCCACTGAGTCAATCACAAATCAGGGTGACCTGGTGCACAATAGCTCTGACCCCTGCTCTCCTGAGCTAATCTCACTATCTCTGATACACCTACCTTCATTACCCAAGTTCCTGTGTCAATCCATCTCATCCAGGATCTTCCTCTCCTTCATAGTCCTTCCACCCTTCCAAGTATGATGTCCTTTTGCAAGGACTGGTTCCTCCTGGCCACATGCCCAAAGTATGTGAGATGTAGCTTCAAAATCCTTGCTTCTAGAAGCTTGGCCTCATCCTCTCTAGGACAAACTTTTTATTTTTAGGCAGTACATAGTATGCTCAATATTCTTCTCCAGAACCACAACTCAAAGACATGGATTCTTCTTCTGTCAACCTTAGTCATTGTCTGATGCATAGCAAGTGATTGTGAAGACCATGGTCTGGAACAGGTGAACCTGTTAGTCTCTAGACTGACATTGTTGCTTCTCAGTACTCTGGACAGGTCCCTGACAGAAGATTTTCCCAATGCAATTTGTCTTGATTTCCTGACTGCTGGTGCCAAGAAAGTTGATTGTGGAGTAAAGAAAGCTGGAATTGTTAACAACCGCAATATCTTCTACATCTATCATGGTGCTGCTATTTTTCACAATGGTGAGAATCTTTGTCTTCTTCATGTTAAGCAATCCATATTGAAGAATATACTCCTTGGCCTTCTGCATCAAATACTTCAAGTCCTCTTCAGTTTGGCAAGCAAGGTTTTATCGTTATCATAATACAAGTTGTTGATGAGTCTTCCTCCAATCTTGATACCACACTCCTCCTCACAAAGTCAACCTCTTGAATGATCTGTTTCACATATAGATTGAAAAGGTCTGGAGACTGAATGCATCCCTACCATACTTCTTTCCTGATTTTTAACCATGCAGTGCTTCCTTGCTCTGTTTTGATGACTACCTCCTGGTCCAAATATGGATTTTGCATGAGTACAATTAAGAGCTCTGGGATTCTCATTCTTCTCAAATTTAGCCACAATTTGTAGTGATTCACTAAGTCAAATGTCTTTGCTTCATCAATGAAACACAAATAAACATTCTTCTGGTACTCTGTTTTCAACCATGATCCATATGACATTTGTGATGATATTGTAGTGGCATGGCCATGTCTAAACCCAGCTTTTATTTCTGGTAATCTTCTGTCAATGTACTGTTCCTATAATTTTGGATGATCTTCACCAAGAATTTGCTTGTGTTTAACGTAATAGTGTTGTTTAATAATTTCCACCCTCTGTTGGATCATCTTTTTTTTTTTTTTAATTGGAATAAATATGGTTCTCTTCAAGTCAGCTTGGAGCAGCCTGATGTGCATATTCAGGGTTGCATCTGTTTTCTGAAATACGTCAATTAATATTCTATCACGTCCTGGGGACTTGTATTTTGGCTGTTCCTTCAGAGCTTTGGAGCAATAGCTGGCAGACAAGTGTTTTACCAAGAAGAGCAAATGAAAGATGTTTTCAATTACAAAAGTAACCAATCCAGTGTTAGTCCTTTCTCCACAACTTTGGCCCCTATGATTTGGTTTTGTACCTCTCCACCCTGCCTCACCAACATCCACTTCCACCCCTTCCCTTTTGACTCCCACCTCCCAGCCAGCACTCCCCTCCTACTGCCCCCCTAGCTAATCCTAGATATTGTGGATGAGGACTGTAGTCACTTCTGTGATTTTGTTTTAGTTATTGCAGCTGTGTAGTAAGGTTTTTAAAAATTTTTCTTTTTAAACTAGTTTATTTACAAAATTTTAATACATTCTTTTTGAATGAGAGTCTTCCAATTCCCCTCAACCCCCACCCATAAAATTGTACAATCCCATGATTAACCCTCCCCATACCCCACAAATCCTCATCCCTCCTTTTTCACCATCCTCCCTTGAATCTTTATACTTATTCTGCAATCATGGTACAATATGTCCTTGTGGAACTGAATTAGTTCACTCAGCATAATGCTCTCCATTCCCTCGCAAGTTAGATAATAATTTACAAAATCATTGCTTCTGCATGCTGCATAGTATTCCATTGTGTGAATGTACCAAAATTTCTCAACTCATTAGATTGCAGTTGGACATCTGAGTTCTTTCCATTTTCATGTGATGGTAAATAATGCTGCTATGCATCAGGATTGGTGGAAGATCTAGTAACAATCTGCGTTATGCAGATGACACAACCCTGCTTGCTGAAACTGAGGAGGACCTTATGTACTTGCTGCGAAGGGTCAGGGATTGCAACCTTCAGTATGGACTGAGGCTCAATGTCAAGAAGACAAAGATTCTCACCACTGGACCAATTGGCAGCGTCAGGACGGATGGCGAAGAGATTGAGATTGTTCACAGCTTTAGTTTGCTCGGCTCCACAGTCAACACTCTTGGCACCAGCAGTCAGGAAATCAAAAAGCGTATCGCGATGGGAAAGTCTGCTGTTAGGGACCTCTCTAAAGTACTCAGGAGCAACGGTGTCTCTCTGGAGACTAAGGTGCGCCTGATACAGGCCATGGTCTTTGCAATCGCTTGTTATGCATCAGAGAGTTGGACAATGACTACGGAGGACAGAAGGAGAGTGGATGCTTTTGAGCTGTGGTGCTGGAGAAGGGTACTGAATGTACCCTGGACTGCCAGGAAAATAAACAGATTCATCTTGGAGAGGATTAAACCAAGCTGCTCCTTGGAGGCAAGGATTCTGGGGCTTCG